TCGGCATTCGCCCGATCGGGCCTAGTTCAAGTCCAGTCACTGCCTTTACTCGTCAAGACTTACACGTGGACCAAGGATAGTCCCCGGACCAATGAAACTCCCAGAGTCGATACGAGGGTCCAACGGGGCCTTGCAAGCCGGACAGACACTTCGTGTCCCTGCCTCATGGGGTAGAACTTAATCATCCCAAGTGGTTTGACCGTAGACACTATGCCCGTCCAACTGCAGGCCCATACCCCAGTCGCGTACGACCAGGCTGTTGGGCCCTCGCATCGATTCCAGAAGAACCAGTGACCCGAGGGCCACCCTGGAACTCGATGCTTGACGAGATTGACAGTGCCTGGAAATGAGTGTCGGAGACGAACCGTCAGAGTGACTTACGAAGCATAAAGTTGTCGAGTACAAGGGAGTACGTTACGTAGGCTAGTCGGTACTTAAGAACGATCGCGACTATCGCGAGAACAATTATGTTCTATATGGTAAACGAGAGGGATCAGAGAGGAAAAGTATGAAATGTATATATTCGCTCCAAGTTAGGTGGCTTACCTTTGTATAGATAGCGCGCACATGAAACTTAGTCTAGCTATCTATCTTATAACTACTTAGAAGTAAACGCATCCCGCATCGCCCATCAATGTGTCCCAAATGAAGTCGTGAACAAATTTGGGAATATTGAGAAATCTAAAAGCTAAAACAGAATTTATTATTGTTAATATAAACCTGAAACGAAACGGATTAGTACGAGGAAAGAAAACGAACGAATAGAAACCATGAAGGTTAACCAAGTGGAAAGAGCAAGCCATCGATGAGACATAAGCAAACCAACGACGAATCATTCGAATATTACACGAAATATTCGAATTCTCAAGTAAAGATCGAGCGAAAAGAAAAAATATAATCTGAAAAAAGAAAAACAATTAACTCCTGAAAAGAAAAAATATTAAAACCTGAAAAAAAAATAATTATTAAGAAACCAACGACGAAACATTCGAATATTATGCGAAATATTCGAATGTCCAAATATAAATAAATATAAACGAAAAATAACGTCTGTAATAAAAAAAAATAATTAATACCTGAAAAAATGAAAAAAATTATTAGTAAATTGTTTAAGGGGTGAGGTGTGAGTGTATTAACTCCTGAAAAGAAAAAATATTAAAACCTGAAAAAAAAATAATTATTAAGAAACCAACGATGAGACATAAACGAACCAACGACGAAACATTCGAATATTATGCGAAATATTCGAATGTCCAAATATAAATAAATATAAACGAAAAATAACGTCTGTAATAAAAAAAAATAATTAATACCTGAAAAAATGAAAAAAATTATTAGTAAATTGTTTAAGGGGTGAGGTGTGAGTGGGGTAGCCAGCCCCAACCTCACTTCGGGCCCCCACCCCGTTCTCGCACACGAAAAGTTTAATGTTACACTCCCGATGCCAAACCGACAAATGACTCGAGCAGCGGCGCGTCGCCCTTTATATAGCCGCAGATCGGCCGAGTCCCCCACTCTGATCGGAAATTTTCCAACTTTGCGGATTTTATTAATTATTAATTTTTCGCTCTCATAGCCAATAATTTATTAATTTTTTCACTTCTATTATAAATATACGTTACAAGCAATTTGTTAATAACAATGTTAATTTGTTATAATAATAATTTATAAACTTTTCGCATATTATCGGTACGTTTTAACACAAGTACATTGCAAGTTCAAGTAGTAGCTAATAATTTATTAATTTTTGGCATTTTTATCATAAATCTAAGTCGTGAACAATTTGTTCTTAACAATATTAATTTGTTGTTAACAATAAATGTAATACTTTATGAACTTTTTTGTAAATTATTCATACATTTTAACACAAGTACGTTTTACACTCGAGGAACAGCCAATAATTTATTAACTTTTTCGCTTTTATTATAACTTCAGGTTGCGAACAATTTGTTATTTATAATAAATTCGATAATTTATACATTTTTTATAAACTGAAACTGCATTGGAACTTCTATTGGATAAGTTTCCATGATACGTATATGTATGTTAAATAACTCGTAACGCAACAATAAACCTCCTAACGTCTTTATTTTTTACGGGACACTTCTTTTTAACCAAAAATCGTACTTTTATAGAGAAACTCGTATTTTTCGAACATCGAGGGTCATTCGTAGAGCAACTTCGAATACGGATTCGTGTTCAAGAAAGTACAGTCTACGGGGATAACCTAGTGGTTATTACAGATCAGGGAAAAAGTGAAAATTCGTACCGCGTTCTCGAAATGCGACGCTAGACTCGGTAGAAGAATGGCTTATCGCCGCGAGAGGGTTCCGTTGGATGAAAAATTCTGGAGAAGAAAGGCAAATAAGAAAATTGTACTCGTCGGTTCTAGCGGTGATCGTGCACCTCGGTCACGTATCGCGATGCGCGAAACGGAGAATCTACTGGTTGCAACTCTCATTGACGTCGGTAGTTGGACTAAAGGAGCTGAAAATCCAGTTTGCTAAACTGCCAAACAAAAATCTCGTTACGTCGTTAGAGGTAAGCTTGTAAAGGAAAAAAGAACGAAGAAGATGAAGAAGAAGAAGAAGATGAAGATGAAAGGAAAGAAAGGGAAGAAGGGCGAAAGGAAATCGCATCGATGAGTTTGCATCTTTTCCGAGTAATCGTAATTGGAACTAGACGGAAGAGTGCTAAGAGGATAGAAGATGAAAGAAGACGAAAGAAGGGGAAAAGAGGGGAAGGAGGGGAAGGTTTGGCTAAACTCGGAATGAAAAGCACCCCCGAGCTTGTGGGTGGTTTTTGGTTGCGGACGCGAGCGCGAAGAAATTCGCGGGCAAAACAATACCAGGCTCGTTTGCCGTTGGCGCCGTGTCGGATTAACGAGTTTATTTTAATTCGTGCCAGCGGCGATATTAATTTTGGCACCGCGAATACATATGACCGGATTTCGAGATGGCGGTGTTTTCGCCGTGCGACGCGTTGCCGAAACCGCAGCAGTCCCCGCGCTCGTTCATTCCTGCGGTTTGCGAGATACACGCGCTCGCTGCATGCACGGCCACCCACGCGCGTGCACCTCTATGAAACGTAGCTTACCCGTGCGAAAGAGATTTTACACGCGAGACAAAAGCTCGGCTGTCTTTCAAACGAAACAGAAAAGCCGTGAAATCGATCTGGTTTCAGCGCACTCGCGAAAAATTCCCTTTCATCGTCCGGTCTTTCGATTTAACGTTTCGTTTAACGACGATTACCACCGCGTCTCGTTCCAGCCGAGTACGTCGTCGCGGCTTCTCCGTCGCCGTTTCTCGCGATCTCCGCGTCGGGTAGGGATGGGTTTACCCTGCGAAAGATATCGCGTGGGTGATTTTTCGAAACGGTTGGTCGTCGTACGGCGTGGCGTGAATATTCATGAAAAGCGACATCGACGTGTGCACGCGCGCCTCGGAGGCGCTGCATTGCGCGCGACAAACCGCATCCAGCGAGAAAAGCCGTGGCTGTGGGACTCGGAGGTGATCTCGTACTCGGAATTACACGGCGAGGTTGAAAAGCGCGGAAAAAGGGGAAAAGGTAGCGTAGCGTGAACAGCTTGGAGAACTCCGGTGTATTCGCGCGTATATCGCTCGCCTCGATAGTGGAACGCCTGTACGCGCTGGATCGAACGTCTCTTCGATATTCTATCTCTTCGCGTGGCTATCCGCCTAAAAATATCTGGTCGTCGCGTCAAAGCTTTGCTCCGTGGCTAAAACAAGCGACTAAAAGCGAGTCGGAGAAAGACGAGCTCCCGCGGGACGCGCTGCAGACGTTTCCCCGAGACAGCGACGTTCTTCCATTCGAATTTCTCGCGAGGAAAACGGACACCGGGAACGTTAGGAAGGGACAGCGGTGTAGAAAATTTATAATTTATCGTCGTCCGACCAACTTCTGTCGCCTATCCTCTTCTTCCGCGAGAATTATTCCCGTTGTCGCAGTACGTGACCAACGTTGCACCGAGGAAAACAACGAAGGTACAAATCCGCGGCAACGGGAAAACGGAATAATAATTCGTCAGGGGCGGATCGATCGCTAGAAATCCCTGCGAATCGAGTACGATTCTCGTTTCCGAGCTTCCTCGATGGCCGACACTCGCCGTTCCTCGCGAAGCGGACCATTTTTGCCCGATAATCCAAAGTACCCTGACTGACGTACTCCTGCCGAGATGGAGGAGGAGACGAGAAACAGAGTGACCCTTCGTGAAGGGCCGCGTATGCGGTTGGTCGAATGCAGCCTCGAAATCAGCGTGGAAAAGCAGCGCCGATAGTGGCGCGCAGACAAAGTGTCGGAAATTTTCTAAATTATTGCCAGCGATTTATTACGCGCTTTGTTCGGTGCACGTTGTTGTTTTTCCGCGAGTCGATCCGTGGTTTTACGAGTATCCGGATAATCGGTTAATTACTCCGGAGCGAATCGGTCCGGGAAAAAATGGACGTACCCCTCGGATACGTTGGTTGATTTGCTCGCGGGTAGATTGGTCATAAAAATGTAAACGCGAGCGCGCTCGAACTGCGGGTCGAAAGCGTTTATCAAAGGACGCGGTGTACGGCCAGTCGCTATAACTACGATCCTCGTGTCGTTTTAATTGAAAATCCGCTTTTTTCCAGGTGTGCGACTGCTTGGGCATTAGCAAGGAATGCGACTACTTCGGTCTAAAGTATCAGAACGCGAAGGGCGAAGAGCTGTGGCTGAACCTGAGGAATCCCATAGAGAGACAGACAGGCGGCGGTGTAGCGCCTTTAAGATTCGCGCTGAGGGTTAAGTTTTGGGTACCGCCTCACCTGTTGCTGCAAGAAGCCACCAGGTAAAAAGAATCCGCTTTCTCGCCTCGGGAACGTTGTTTCGGGTTTCGCCTTGCAACGAGACTCGCAAACGAGACTCGAAAACGAACCTCGGCGAGATTACGCGTCTCGGAAATCTCGAGTTTCGCAAACGGTCGCGTACAGCACCGACGCGCGTTTTTCCGCGAGCACGAGCAGGACAGAGCTCGACGCGATCTAGGAATCGGTAACCTAGATTTCCACGGAAACGAAAATTATTTTTGCGAAAAGAGTGGAGCGGGGAGGGGGAAACGAGGAGTAACCGGGATCGATAAATCGATGGATCGACGGATGCGCGAGAGCACTTGTCCGTTCTCGAGGCGGGCGGCCGAGCACGTTGAAAATTGCATCACGGACTCGATTGGAAGGTACTGATTGCGTCGGATAATGCGATCGTTGTATATATTCGGGTTATATCTGAAGGGTATTGGTCCGAAATAGGGTAAACAGTGTCGCGTGACGCAAGAGAGGATGCTGGCGAAAAGCGGCGATGAATTACTCTCGTCGTCACAGAAATCGAGCAATGACGCGAACAAAATTTGCGGTTGGTCCGCGCGTGAATAGTTTCGGGGGCACCTGGTCGTGATTAAACGCGAACCAATCGGTTCGCTGGTAATTTATAGAGGACGCGAATCGGATGCCGTCCGGGCATACTTTTTAGCCGAGAGATTTCAATGGATAGAAACGTAATTCCGATTTAATCGCTATAACTCGAATGGAACTTGGAAAAGGTAAACGCGCGAAGAGTAACGCGCCCGATGCGCGAATTAATTCGTCGGCCAGTGATAACGTTCCGTCGTCGCTGGATTACGGTAATTGCGCCAGTGACGCGAGAACCTGCTCGTTCGTTTCCATCGTTTCCATTCTCGTGTCTTGTTTCGTTGCTGGGCAACGCGTGTTCGTAAATTTACACCGTCGGACCTCTGCCCCCGGTGGCAGTGCGAACCGAAAATTTCACGAATTCTTCGGAAAAATCGAATTCGAACGGATATATTTCAGGATTCTTTACGACTGGAATCTCCAACGCGAAATCGACGTTTCCCGACGATTATCGCTTCTGCGCGTTGCGCGAAAATACACCTGCCCACGCGCGCGTGCACCTGAGACATACGCGTAGACGAATTTTCTACGAGAATGACCCGTTTAACGGTCGCCTAGGTTCTATTAGCCTAAATCGATTAGTAGCCGAAAGTAGGTCAATTTTGAAAGTTAAAAAGACCCGTTCGCGTTCCATTATACTTTCTCGTCGTCTATAATCGTGTCAAGAACAACCGATCCCTACTAGTCGCATTACGAAACTTTCGTTGTTTACGTGGAGTATAATCGCGTTAGACGTTTACACGCGTAGAATTTGCCGTGTCGTCGATACAGATTTCGTCTCGACACGAAGCTCGCGGTATCAAAGTCGCTGCGACGACACCTCGCCTGTTACTCTCGTGTGTAAGAGTCTCGTTAATTACGCGGTTCCACCGGATAATCCGTCCTCGCGCAATTGGTATTTGGAATAACCGAATTGCGGAAGCAATACGGGTCGTAGAGAGTGCAGGGATGGGGGCAGGATAGAATCGGAGCGGAGGTTTGGCGTTTGCTCGGGGAGTATAAATCAAAGTTGTTACAATGCTATTGTCGCGAAATGTGCCGAGTTTTCCGAGTATACGCGCGTCACGTTGTCCGATATTCAATACCACCGATGCGAAACGATAGTTTTATCTCGACCTCGTAAATCTTAAATCGTACCGACTGCGTTACCGACTTTTCCGCATCTTACTGCCCGTCCTTTCCATCCGAAGCGCGATAAAAGCGTACCAACGATCGAGCAACGAAAGCAAACGGAAAAATCGCGAATCCTTCGCTTTCCATCGCGGCAATTTAACCCTTCCGATACGGAGGAGCTGGCCACGGTTATGCATTCGTGGTACGAGGGAGTTTTCCACAAGAGTGGTTGCACAGGAAGCCGCGAAAACGTGTTTTGCGCTATTCATAGAAATTTCGAGCGTGATTGACACTAAACTTTTCATTCGGATCGCGACGGTCATCGGTGACGTTTCGCTGATGCCGCCAATAGGCGACGGTAGTACCAAAAGGATTAACTTTCGCGCAAGCAACGCTCCTTATTTTTTCCCACGTTCGCGCTTGCGGCGACTATCGTTCTCAGCCTCGCTGCTAGATGGATTCCAACTCGAAGGAGGTTCGAGGGGTCTCTGGCAAGTTCTCGGCGAATCCTCGACCTCCTTTGAATAGAAGTTCCTATGCCACCTAAGTATCTCTATCCCAGGGGCTGCTAGAAAAGCCTTCCCGACGAGTCCACTAGCAGACCCAGGCCGAAACGCATCCCTTCCTTTTCCTTTCGTCCCTTCTAGCTTCGTCGCTACGTGGAGGAAAAACCACGTAGGCTTCTCTCATAGAACCCCGTGGGGGGACCTCCACACGCTGACCTGAAAATCCAATCTCCCACCTAACGCCAGACTAATTGATTATTACGATCTAACGACCCGTAACGAACGACCGTCGTAAATCTGTCGGATAGAATACGCGACAGCTTCGATCGTCGGCTATCGATATCCCGTGGAAAGTAGTTTCACCTACGGTCACGGAATCCGCGTCCCACGTCCAAGCTTTCGTGGGTGTTGGCGAAGCTTGGAAAGCTCGCGTCTAAATTTCGACGAGGGTCCCGCGAGCTTCTTAACCCTAAGAGAAACGTAACTTCCAAGTCCAAAGGAGCGGAGGATGTTCCGCCGTTTGAGAGCAGACTGTATAAACTAGCGATTTTCAGGTTCAAGCGTTTAAATTGTATCTCGGCGGAAACTCGGCCGAACAACTTTGCGAAAGCACGGTTTCGCGTCTTGCGGGTAAATTCCAGCTGCATAATTAATCGCGATCGGAGTGTCGTTGAACCGGAAGCTTAAACGCCAGCGAATCGATCGGACGCGATGGAACGCGAGCGGAACGAAAGCGGACGAGACTTCCCGAGCGCCGTTTTCCTCGTTGCCTTTATCAGAGTCGTGCTTTTTCGAATCGGTCGCGATACGATTTATCGCGAGTGTTTCCGACACCGCGACCGGGACGAGTTGAAGAAAGGACTCGGACCTAGCGTGGTGTCGCGTTGAATTCCTCCACGACTCGGCAAAGAGAATCGAAGAGAATGGAGGATCTCGTAAAAGCGCGACCCGCTGGATCCGTAGTTCCATTTATGAAATTTAACGACACGCGAGGACCAGTTTCGAGGAAACCAGCGAAATTTCACCGGTTATTACACTTTATCGGTGTAACGATTTGCGTAATCCCGGATAACGAGGTAATTAATCTGTCTCGGTTTCGCATCGTCGTATCGCCATTGCGATTTGCAGGGAATCGTCTCTAGACTATGCTTACGTCCGATCCCCAGAGCGACGACGCATCGACGAGGTAGGCTTTCCCTGTTCCCTAGAACGCCTCGTTATCGTCCAATCGAACCGTGAATCGCCACTCCAGGTATTCCTCTGATGCGTGTCGACCGTGTACGGTCGAGGCTCGGCCCTAATAAAACCGTTGTCTCGGGGTCCTGCAGGATTTTAGGTACCCTACTGTACGTCGAGGGGTCCTCTGTCCCGAGGTCAGTTTTCTCTTGGCCTGTATTTTATATTCGGTGGACTCGGAGACCGAGGATTCTCGACGCCGCAGTTTTATATACGTATCCTCTGGTAACCCCTTCGGGGGTAGCTTCGACGTTGAGCTACTCCTCGCGCACTGCAGTTTCCTCCTCGTTTTCTAGATATTTTTAAATATCTAGAAGCTGTTTGCTGTTCTCGAGAGGCAGTGTCCGGAGGTTAAGCGGTCGCTCGGTTTACTCGTGTCTCGTTGCATAAATCTCTTCCTTTCTATCGGGCTCGGTGTAAACTGAGATAAATAAGAGAAACGAGAGAAACGAATTAGACGCGAGCGGCTCGTTGCTTTTAGACGATTTCAAGTTACGAGTTTGGTCAGCAACATCGCGATAGCGCAGAAAGAGGCAGGTAGACGACGAAGGATTCGGAGAATTATTAGGTAGACGTAGCTGCGTTCGTTGTTTCGATCTTTACGGTCTATGGTCGTGCAATCGTTGATTAATCGTAATCGTTTCGATCGATCCCCGTTTTTCTAAAGCTGAGAACAGAGAAACGATCGTATCGGACACGTTTTTGACAGCAGGCGAATGTCAGGATCGAGGCGAGTGATCGTCTCTGAACGATCGTTCGCCGCGTTGCCTTTTCGATCACCGTAAAGAATATTCGCGAAAAGGAAAGGAAAAAGGTGGAAAACTCGCGACGATTGCAGTTGAGGGATGATAGAAGATGGCGAAACGTGACGCAAGACGGCAAAGACCGGGAAGTTTCGCGACGAGACGAAACAGTCCAAGTTTCGGAGCCAAATCGCATCGGATAAATCGAGTTTCGCGGTTACGTGCCATAATCGAGCCGAGATCGAGTGAAAATAATAATATCGCGTTTCTAGGAAATTTAGGAAACACGGAGAGTCGTGTTCCTTTCGGAAGAAGGGAAAAAATAATTGCGCTACCGTTGTTAGTCGCGTAAAAGAGAAAAAGCGGAATGCGACGCGTGCGCGTGACGGAAAAATGCAAATCATCGTCGTGAGAAATTTTAACGCGAAAACGCGTTCTCCCGGGCACTCGGAATTCCGCGTTATGCGAAATTCGAACTGTTGGACGGATCGCTGAAAGTGTATTTAACGCGATAAATACCGGAACGATCGGTTAACGATCTTTCGAATATTTATGCGTTTCGAAGTTCAAACGAGCGTTGTTGAACGCCACCGTCAGCTCGAACATTGCCCTGGACGTAAACGTTGATTTATACTTTCGGCGTTCGCGTAATCCCCGCGATATCTGGCTTAACCGATTTGCGCGAAACTACTTCATCCGGCTGAATTACTTTCGCGAGTACGTCGTCCGATTCGACTCGGCGAATTATCTTCCGCCGTGGAACGAGACGGATTATTCGAAACTTCCGCGTTACGAACGAGACGCGTCTCTTTTTCCAAGCGTTTAAATCTAAACGGAGAATCGTAGGAACGAGGAGAAACTCCGTAGCTCGTGACAGGGGTTTAGCATCCGCGATCGTTAACGATAAGTTGGCCACCGTGAAAGTTTCCAGTTTCGAACGTTTGGCCACCCGTTGTGCAACTTTGGCTCCGCGTCTTCCTCGCGATGACAAATGTTGCTCGGTTCGTATACCTGCGTTCGCCTGCAGCCTTGCCGGGCTAACGCTAGATTCCGCGAGGTAAAAATGATATTTGTACGCGCGCTTTATACCGAAACGTCGATTCTCTCGATTTCCTCGATTTCCTCGATTTCCACGATTTCCTCGATTACGTCGATTCGTTCAAGCGATCGCGCGTGGTCGTTGGTTCGCGAGCCGATTAACCAGCTGGCAAACGCATGGAGCGTTTGCGTATGCCGAAGTTTACGCTCGAACGAGGCTGCTTGGAATTTCGGCAGAGTTCATCGAAACTGCGTCGATTTCGATCAACCGTTAAATTCCGGCGATGACCGGTGAAAGAGAGACCACAGACCGCATCGATGCAGTTTCTCGGACGTTCGATTTGTCGATTTACCCGTCTATGGAAATGAATCTTTGGTCCGGCTGTAATTCGCTGCTGCGTTCCTTGGATTACTCGCTTTCTGGTCGAACGAGCTCCGAGCAACGGTGGATAACGAGACACGATTTTGATATACCCGTTTGTCTGATTGCAGGCACCAGTTCTACCTGCACTCTCGTCTGGAGCTGCTCGAGGGTAGATTAAAAGTGCCGGATTGGAGTTCCGTGGCACGTTTGATCGCTTGGATAGCCCAGGCCGATACCGGTGATTACGACGCGTTGTCACCACCGAACACGCTCTACTCGCAATGCTGTCAAATTCAACCGGCGGAACCGTGCGAACCAAAGCCTCAAGATTTCCTGCACAGGATAATCCAGCAGCACAAGGAAATAAAGGTTCGCGTCTATCCTCGGATTTTCTCGGGGTCACGTCCATTTCGTCGCGATTTTGTTAACGGCAACTGTTTTGTTCAGGGAATGAAAGCGTCCACCGCGGAATATTGGTTGCTGAAAGAGGTATCGAACTTGGAGACGTTCGGCCAGGAGATGTTTCACAGTAAATTCGGCTACAACGGCGTATCGATGATCGGAGTCGGGCCTCACGGTATCGCGGTTTATCGTAGTCACAACGAAGAAACGCAAAAGTACGTACAACGATCGCACGATACTAAACGTACGATTAAGCGAGCTGTTCCCGTTCTTGGCTAACTCGATTTACCATCGGTAAGAAATTGGCAATCGAACCAACGTCCACGACTTGTCGCGAAAGCGATCGAAACGCGTACGCACCGTTTGTGCGTTATCGTTTCCGACAAAGTCTATACGACGTAGGTTATATTTATGGAAGAATTAGCGCGATCGTAGCGCCATCTACGCTTTATCGTATCTCTGATCCGTCCGGTGATCCGGGCACGAGATAACACCTTGTCCTCTTTGTTTTACAGCATACCGTACACGGCGATACAGAGCGCAACGTCCCAACGTCGAATGTTTCATTTGGTTTATCTTTCTCTCGACGGCGAGGAAACGTCGTTGAATTTCAAATTAGATTCGAGTCAATCCGCCAGCGGACTTTACCGAGCGATTACCGAGAAGCACGCGTTTTACAGTTGCGAGACGGTCAGGAGCGCGGTTACCGCCCAATTTATACGCGATCTCAAGGTTCGTAAACGTTCCTAACCTAAATGCTCCGTGCGGTACGCAGCGTATCCGCACGGTCATCTTGGTAGACGCGCGCCTGTGGACGGCGTGACACTGAACTCGTTCTTTTCCAACAGGGTACCATAATCTCGATATTCAACGAGGACTCGACGTTAGGAAAGAAATACGTGTTCGATATTCGCAGAACGTGCCGGGAGGTGTACGACAACGCTCGGCGCGCGCTATACTGCGAGGCTGCGACCGTTAACCTGCCGGAGGAGAAGGAAATTTTGGGCAAGCACGACTGCGGGGACTGCGAGGATCCCAAGTGCAAGGTATTCCGACGAATTACGGATATTACGGGCGGGGAACCGTTGGAGGAACGGTGAACCGAGCAACAAGGAAAACCACTGTTTGAGATTGTTGTTTCACTTGCAGGAATCTCGGGAATGTCTGGCAAGATTATTGGACGCAATGTTGTGCCGCATTTGCATGGATCGTAGTTTAGACACCGCCTTGTTCCCGTGTGGACACGCGGTGGCCTGTTTAGATTGCGCTAGACGTTGCGAGCGTTGTCCCCTGTGTCGAGCCGACATCGACAACTGTCGGACCATATATATTCCGATCGAGCTAACGCACGTCGATAAGCACAATCCGAAATTGCTCTCGGAATCCATCGAACCGAGTTACGGCAACTCCTCCGCGGAAGAGATGCAGAAGAGGGCGGCATTGGCAACCGAAACCACCATAGTGAACGGTAACGATATTTGAGAACGGCGCCACGGCAGATTTGACACTTTTCAAAGATTCTTCTTTAAAATCTTTGCTTGCCAGATCGAGAGAAGGCATTGAGTTTCTCTCCGTCTCTCTCCCTCTCACCATCTTCACCTCCTCTCATCCCCCCCCCCCTCCTGCTCTCCTCATTCTACCTTTCCTCCTAACTCTGTCTCTATTCGTACTTTCCATCTCCGTTTCGCAACCCGACATACTATCTTTTTTACCCGTGTTATAGATAATATTTCAATCATCCCTGTAAATCGTATCGAACGCATCGAGTAATCTCTTGTTCTATCGTCTTTTCGAATGCGTTCGTCTTATCGGTAAGAAGAACGGAGTCATCGCCTTCTCGGACTTTTTTCTGTCACTGCTTTATTCGTTTTCGCGGCAAGGAAAAAAATCGATCTTTATTCCTTTTTCTTTCTTGCTCCATTCCGAAACTTCTTTCTCTTTCCCCCTTCCATTCTTTTCTTCCGTTTTTTGAACGCCGCAAAAGGTAAACATTTCAATGATTCGTCGATACTGTGATGAAGAAACGCGACTTTGTTCGTAATGTTCACGATATTACTGTCGTTTAAACATTTATCTACCTATTTATAACGATGTTACGATGTTAATAACGATGTTATCGATACCTTTTAATTGAATAACGAGGATATTATCACTATTTCTTAATTGTGCGACCGAAAAGTGCTATTAGCAGCATTGATCTTTGAAATACAATGCTGCCATTATTTTCGAGAAAGAGTAGTATAATTTATTTCGATGAAAAATTTCATGCGTCGTATATAGATTTTTCATTTACCTTTATCGACAGTCGGACCAACAAGTACTTTCTCTTCTTCTTCTATTTAATTGTTGTTTACGGTACTTCTCGATATTTTTGTTCCTCTTAGATAGATCGTACGTATTTTTTTTCTTTTTTTTCTTTTTCTTTTTCTTTTTTTTTTCTCTCTCGTATGTATCAACTTTCATTTAGATATGACGCCAGGGCACTGGGGTGAAGAGTTTTATTAAAACCAGTGACCCTTCGTATTTTTAATATAATGTACGTTATTCATTACACATATGCGATATCGTTTACAAAACGAGCGCGATAACGCTCCTCCTTGTAGAGGATGTTTCATCGAAACGGAATGTGAATCTCAAATCACGCAATGTCACTCCTCGATCGATTGTTGACGCGATAGAATTTTGTTAAATCGAGGTCCGTGATGTTTAAACGCCGTTCAACGTTCGCATGGAACGGTGTACGGGTAAGATCTTGACGATCTATAAACGCATCGCGACGATGGATAACGCGCTACGAGTTATTTCCTCGATGAAACGTCCTGTACGAGGAGGAAACCTTGTTACGGTAATATCTGTTTATATGTACATAAGAAATGAGATAACCCGCGATAGGGTCAAGCGAGTAAAAGTCATAAGTTCACCAAATGTCAAATCTGATTTAACAAACTCGGTGCGAATGCCATCTTTTAAGTAAGAGAGTCGTAATGAAAGAAATGCATATGTTAATCGATGCGCTTTAAATGCAAAAGGTAATTGACGAGTCATCGATCATAGTTCGTTTCCAAAGGAGCACTCGAGAAAAGGCTGTTTCCGAATCAAACGAAAATATAATGCAAATATTAACGTATTATTTATATTCTCTTCTCACGTGTTATCATTCTTCTTTCTCGTCCTCGATCATCGACATTTTTATCGTTACCATCGTTGAAAACACTGGCGTGTCGAGTATATTATGTGCATACGTTCGTCGAACACCTATGAGTAGCGATTCGTAAGTCTCGAATGCGTGTTGAAACAGAGGATGTTAGGGAGAATGAAAGACAAAGAAATTGTTATAGTCATTCATCAATGCAAAACAGATCTAGTTTATAATTATTTATAAGGAAAGAGATAATAGCGTTTATAATACACACTACTACGTTTAATGACAATTATTATCGACAACATTCTCGTTAAGTCGGCGTAGCGTAATCACTTTTTTCCCAACATTCTTTGCGCTTTACATCTCCGATCTATGTTTCATTTAGTTTCCTTTAGTATTTTTGTATCCTGGTGTTGAGAAAATGGTGATTGATTACGCTGCTTCTCTAAGTCAGATATCGACTCGAAAGGTTCTATAGAGACGCGAATGTAATACGTGTACAACAATACTAAAATTCAGAGTCACTTGCTTCTCTAAGTCAGATATCGACTCGAAAGGTTCTATAGAGACGCGAATGTAATACGTGTACACAACAATACTAAAATTCAGAGTCAAGAAAACGTATTGGTGCAAATATCCTATCGTCGTACATATTTCCACATGGACGGGAATAAAAGTGTTTCTTTCAAAATTTTCCAATTACGCCATCGACGTTCGCAACGTCGACGAGCTTTTATGCGTTATCGGATCGTTTCCAAGGGAAACGTTGTGAAAAACCATTTTGTAAATTCTGATAGTCCGTGGTCTTTGAGATGAAAACGATTTATACCACCGCTATACGTTTATTCGATATACTATGTAAGTTAAATAATAATTACAACGATAACACCGTTATAATAAAAACAACAAATATATGTGATTAACTTTCTGTATAAATGCGGAGAAATTTAAAATCATCATAGTTGTTAGATCTGTATGTTAGAAATGAACGATATCGGAGAGAATGAATTTTTAAGAATTATCATTTACAAAGAGTATTTTTAAAGTATTTCCAATTATTTTTTAGTATTATATCAGAATTCCACTGTAATAGTGGTGTATACATATGAGACCGATACACTCTATAAAACTAATTTTTAGCATTGTAAAGGTACAGTGTCCCAACCTGTTGATTAAATATTGTAAAATATCAAACGCTATATGCCTTTCATTCCCATTTGTTCCCCGTTTATCCCCCTTTTATTCCCCGTTTATTGTCCATATTTCTACGGAATAAACGGGAAAAGATGTCTCGTGCCAAAGCTAACTACATTGCGATGCACCGACGCTTCGTAGCATTGTTATAGACAATGTGCCGATTATGTTTATCGCGAATAAATATTTGTACCAAATCTTTTTACAGCCTCTTGCGCATTAAATTCAGCAGAAAGTCCAATCAACCTACCGTATCACGCTTACAAGATTAAATTAATCTGTTACTTCCTTATTTTTCATTTTAACGATTACTCTGTAGCTGCTGACATGTAAATAGAATAGCGAGAGGTGTAATCGTAAACGAGATAAACCGATTAAAGGCTGATTAAAAAATTTCGAAACGAACCGTTTTATAATCGAGAACGAAAGATTACAACGATTTGGGCTTATCTTAATTGGACGAATACTTGAACCGATCAATTATTAAATTCGCGTTTAAATTTTCAAATTATTTAAACTTACCCCTTGTAACTTTACCTTGTGTAATTAATTTCGACAATTTATCAAATTCTTTGACCCTTCGAGGATGCCTAAAAATCTATTTCTACGTTAAATCGTTCTTGCGTCGATCTGACTCGATTCAATAAGTTTTCGTATGATAATTATGGGGGGAAAAAAGGAGTAGAACGGATAACGAGTAATATGTATATGCCGATGATAGAAATTAATGCGCAGCTTGAATGAAAAGATTTTAAATATGGCGCCAAATTATGTCGAGCGGCAGTTGAGTTAGAAGTTGCTGCGTCTGCGCATGCGTCTTACATTTTGATTGGTCAACGCAGCGGCATTGTCATATGACGAAGCTGCGTGGCATCATGGGAAGCAGATCGCAATTTTGCAACATGGCGGTGAATTGAGCCGAAGTCGTGGTGCTGTGCCATCAGAAAATGTATTTTTCATAGTCGCGCAACCTCTTTTATTATACCCTTTATGTATGCGACAGTGTAATACGGATTCGAGTCGTGTTAGACGATACACTGTGCATGTAAATATGAGTGTAACGAAGCACAACGTTATTTCGAAGGTGACACCCCGCAACTCGGTGTGGTGCTCGACCACGTATGGCAGAGACTAGAATCCGAGATAAGGAAGCTCTGCTTCGCCTAAGTAATACGTATCGCCAATCAAAATTACCACCACAAAGTAGCGATGTGGTGGTTATCCATCCCGAACTGTGAAAACGTGAGTGTTTTATGTAAAACGTAAAGTGTGCATACGAAAGTGCCTGTGGGTGCGTATTTCGGTAGCGAGGAGAGTGTACGGGTGCCTTGTCTGCGATATCCAACATCCCTTTCCTATATTTCTTCCGATGACTTTATCGTAAAAATTCGTGAAATTTTCTAATAACGCGTCTCGATTTCGGATTGTTGCATTAAAATGAATTTCAATCACGAAAACTTTAATATACAAATCGGTTCTATCGAGTGTGCCACCATTGCGTTAAATATTCTCGACCAATTCGTATTTCTTTCCCTTTTTCGAAGAAAAGTGAAAAGTATTCCGTAAGATTAATAACGATTCCTTATTTTCACTCGTAGCTGTGTTCCCGTCATTAAAAAATGCATAATTCGATCGATTTGTTCGATAGTGCTTACCTTTCAGCTTTACTCGTGTTTCATTACCTTAGCTATGCTTAAATAATATTCTACGCGAAATCACTGTGAACACAAGTCAAATGAAACGATCTTTCGTCAATTTTCCTACTATTACCGATATCCGAAAAAGTGTTTTATGGTCGGTGTCGGTAAACGTCGATGTAGCAACGCTCCAAAAATACCACATGTTACGGTATTCTAAAAGCATCGCGCGTTGCAATGCTTCACTAACGATAAGAGTGTATGACGGGTAACAATACACCGTATTTACTATTTGAAATACGTATTTTCCAGGAAATAGTAATATTTCGACAATTTAACCTGTTTTATCGATGGATCAGAAATATACGGGACATTTTGCAAGGCTCCTCTAGCAATGCATTTCGTGTTCAATTATTTTTGTTTACCTATTGTGTTCTGCAGCTATAGAATATTATTATGTTTAAATCGCGAGTGCAACAATATCAATTTTATCTTATTCGAATAGAGCATATTTATGGGGAAAGTATAAGAGCCATTTAAAGTACAAAGTTGTTTATATAATAGTTTATTAAGCTGTCCAGTTATCAGTAAATATTATGTAATTGAATAAATCACTTTTCACACTTGCAACAATTAAGCCTATTTTTCCTGCATCGAACAAAGAATGAGGTCACAGCTACACCCAAATAAACTTGTTAGCATACAATGAAGTTTCCTAAACATTTTTAAACAATCATTCCTTATTACCTTTTATATACCTTATCTTCCACATAACGTATAAGGCATCAGTTATGCAAATATCGTGTGAATCTGACAGTCGTTGCTATTATATTCGTACCGAATATATGCATATGTAATGATTACTATAATATTAACAATAATAATGAGGCTATCGACTAATGGGCTGTTTCTATATTTTCAGATATTTACAAAATTCAAAAACTTTGTCAATCATTGCAACTTGTGATCGTATATGCGTGCCAAACAGAGATATATAAAAGGGCATTGAAGAGACCCAATGGTTTCCTGACATGATGGAAAGTAAACTATATGTGAAAAATGAGCCGGGACTTGACGGGCAATCTCTTGCAAATCCACAACCAAACCCATCTTCAGAGGATACAGGAGGAGCTAGGGTTTGTTTCGTTTGTGGTACAATAGGCCATGGAGAACAGTACTGGCTGAGAGTGAAGCCAAGTCCAGGCAGCGCACCAAATGAACCTTACTTTCCATTTCTTGAATCCCATGAACCACCTGCTGGCTATCGTGGCGAAGGAGCTAGAAGTGGAGCAGTTAAGGCGTGCAGTCTTTGCTATGCCCTATTGTTACAACAATGGGACAGTTATGAACAGGATGCTAGACCACATAGTCAACGAATATATTGGTTGAAAAGATGCGATGGCGGTCCTTTCACGGGAGCCGAGATGGCTCTCCAGGGAGAATATGCGGCTCAAGTTCTGGGCTTAACCAATGACCAAACCCCACAACTTAGACCGGAAAACCGACCGATTGGAATATCTCCACGACTTCCGCCAAATTCACCATCGCCTAGAGTGGAACAAACAAGACCACCGTCGAATTCCATTGAACTACCAAGACCACATTCTAACACGGCAGAAACGCACAGACATTTAGAACAAGCAAGGCTTACAATGGAATCTCCCCATCAAAGACTGCAATCTCCCCATCAAAGGTTACAAAGTCCTCGGCAGCCTGTAGAAGATTCAAGAATATCGAACGAAGCGGCGTTGGATTTACGACACGCACCCAGGAGTTCGCCTGCACCACAACCAGCATTACCAACACAACCTCAACGTAAGTTCAAGTTTATCCAAATGTTCAAAGAGTTGTCTGATATTTAAACGGCAACTAGGTTTCCGACAACATAGGAAAACAAAACAGTTTGATATCGTGATATAGTAACTTTCGAGTTTTATTTTGTCTTCGCGTTAAGCGTAATAATATTTGCAAGTTAAATGACCCGAAACGTACAGGTTAATCGATATTTCTTTCGTTCGGCAGGGTAAATGTTTGTAAACGAAGGTTGGTAGTTTCGTAGATAAGACGATAAAGATATAGTTAATTTGTATTCTATTCTTAATCTTTACCGTATGTGCGTAATTTGTTCGACCTTTTAAAGCGGAAATCAGCAAATCCGATATTAGTTGGTCGGCCTGTTTTATAGCAGCAATTCAGTGTTTATGCTTATCTACGAGTAGGACGAAACTAAAATATGTTATCGGTTCCTAATAGTTTATTCGAACTGGATTATCCAATGGAATATTTAGTGATGGGTTTGATTGAACGGTGTTACAGCCATTTATAGCGGTGGATCGACGTCGAGTGCCGGTACTGATATTTTAGATCTTTCGATGCCGGATAAAAATTCCGTTACGGAAGTCTGTTACGTATGCGGGGATGAATTCAAAAGAGGGTCACTTAGTCATATTGCAGCTAAACCATTGCCAACTGAGCCACATCCTACTGCCAGTCCCCCGCCATTTTTTCCTTCGCTAATGCTTCATCCAAGACCAAGCAGGAGTCGACCAATGGACAGCGCTGGTCGTGTACAAGTACGTATATTTTCCTTCTTATTCCTGTCGCATAGAAAGCTGCTGTTTGATTCTTGTGCTTAAGATTTAATCTACACGTTTGGTTACAGGCTTGTTCAGCATGCCAGAATCACCTTCTGTTACAATGGAAGGCGTACACCCGGCAAGGAGTTCCACACGATGATCGAAATTACACACTTCGTAAACGACAAGCACCTGCAATGGATACAACTACCTTTATCTGTTATACTTGCGCGCTTGAGTACCCTTCGTCCAGCATTAGACTTCTTTATTGCTGTCCTAATCCTGAAAAGGAGGCGTACTATCCTTTTATTTATTCTCTGAGACCTCCGCCAGGAGCTAGTCCTATTAGTCCTCAGGGAATGGTGCAAGTTTGCTCCATTTGTTATAAAGCTATACCACAGAAACAGCAAGTATTTGGTGGAGAAAATCACGAGGCTCAACCGGCAAGTCAGAGCGTGGATTTTCGACAACAAGGTCCGTCTCCGAGACCCGCAGTGGCAAAGTCTCCGGCCAATTCCGCTGGAAGTGATATTCGTTTCAAGCCGTACGACTTAAATAAATCGAGCGTTGCTACAAACAAGCAACGCAGCGCTACTGTAAAAGGATCTACTCCTGGGCAACGAAATTCTCCGAACAATGGTCCTGCTGAGAACGGAACTGTTGCTCTCGGGCAAAATTATAGGTGCTATATTTGTGAGAGACTGTATCCTCGTTCTCACATGGAATGGTACGGTTCTCGAATCGCTATTATATTTTTCTTACCTCGCACGTTGACCGTTCGAGCACTAATCTTGGTTTGTTTGTCATTGAAAGGTTATCTACGAGCCCGGAAGGAATGAATTCGCACGCTATGCATTTCCCGTGTTTAAGGGGAATGGCACGTACCTCGGAAAATGCCTGTATGGATAGTCATGGCAGAGTGTTAGCTTGTAGTCATTGTGTGAATCATCTTGCCCAACAATGGGAAAGCATGGATGCTGAACGAGTTCCTTTAGAACGTCGCAGGTTAGTTTCCTTTCGTTTACATTATTAAAAAAAAAAAAAAAAAAAAAAAAAAAAAGGATTCGTATGATAGAAAAGAGAAATTCATTAAACGTTTGTTGTTGTCATTTCGTAGGTATGATATTCCTAGTCCACATCCAAACGGCGATGTGAACCGATCAATCGCCACCCCACCGAGTTCTAGTTCAGATCGAACGTTTGGTAGTAATCCAGGCACATCGAGCAGTTCCATATATTGTTTCCTATGTGGCTTGCATAGTGATTTAACTCTCGCAAGAGTGTTATATGGTCGCCCTCAGGGTCGTAACGCACCGTTTTTCCCTGAATTATTACGTCATCAGTCTCCGCCGAATGCTGAACAACTTAGGGAGGATGGTTCCGCGCTAGTATGCACGTTCTGTTATCATTCTCTTTTGGCTCAGTGGCGTCGATACGAATCTCTTCCTAGTGGTCAACAAGTAAACGCCGCGGAAAGGCAGTATAATACGCATGATTATTGCTGTTACGTTTGTGGTATTACGACGTACAGAAAACGAGTCAGAGCATTACTCGTAAAGGATTTCCCTTTTCTCAAGTATCACAGACAACCCGAAAAGAGTCTGTTATTGGAAAATGGAGATTTCGCAGTGGTTTGTTTAGATTGTTACGAAACATTGCGCACACAAAGCCTGGAATACGAACGATGGGGCTTGCCTGTTGAAAAACGCGAGTACAATTGGATAGTGCAACCTCCACCGCCAGAAGATAGCCCTGACGCAGCTGTCGCGAGATTGCCATCCGGTGAAAGATCCGATAAGGTGGTGAGTCATTTTTCGATAGCTGCGGTTTACAGACAGTACGTCGATGGATGAACAATTTATTAATACGCGTTGAATATTCCTATATGTTCCGTAGGTTCCATCGACGTTGACGGTTAAGCCCGCACGAAAAAACTGTTCTCCAAAGGCACCGGATAAAAAGGTTCCGGCAAAGATTCCAGAGAAAGAACAAGGTAAGTGAAAAACGTTTCGTGTCCACACACCGTGTACAACATCTTCGTGGTGGAAGTTTTAATCGAACAAAACGTAGGCAGCAAACTTTGCGTTATAAACTTTTAATTTTAATTTAATGCTCCGTTTAAAAGGCAAGGGGAAGCAACGGAACGTACGCATTGAGAAATCTCAGATACTTCTTATTTACTACCGCTTTTCCTTCATTTATGATCCTATGTATGTACACGTACACGCATATGCAAAGGTTAAGCATACGAGTGTTTTAGATAACGGAAAATATTATGTAGTCAAACATTTGCCAGACGCACTAAGGTTATCGGTTTATGTTTAAACGTTATCTCATGCGTAAGCATTTACCTCTTTAGAGTTATTCGCGTTGTATGTGTTAGGTTTCACGTCGTGCTGTGTACGTATTGCTCCGCTTTTTTCTTTATATTTTATTATTTTCCTTCTTTAACCTTCTTTAAAGGTGTCAGTTCCTTTAACGGACAATGTTATTTTATTAGAGTTAAAATAACGAGCATATTTTTCATCTCGTCTGATCCCATTCGTACACTGACTAAATTTTAAGGGGTAAAAGGTATACGTAATATATTATACATATATACGTACTTGAGCAAAGAGATGACGTACTGCGGGGGCGGTCGGTTCGAAAGAAGGGATAGAAACGGGGGGCGAATAGTAGAGTCCTTAAAAATCCGACAGACAAAAGGATACCGACGGTTGAGAATCATCCAAGAAGAGGGCCCGTTCAGATGGTTGCGTTCAAGCGAATTCGCTCCTTTATCTTTCCTTCTTCTTTTTGTCTTTTCATTTCGTCTTTACTCGCATTCTTCCTACCTCGACGTTACGATCGATCTCGGGTGTCTTTTCACCTTTATGCAAACATTAAAAATCATTTGTTAAAATACATTTCGCATCAGGCTGATATCGTTCGTGAATCGCTGAGACGATTACAGTATACCTGGTACCATACGCGTAATTTCGAAGGGAGTATCGGCACGGTAATACGAATAAGATGGAAAAAAGGAAAGAGAAGGGTAGCAAAGTTCCTCGACGAGTGTTTGACGTGGTTAGAGTAGATTTGTGAAACGCTAGGCTGTTCGCGGTCCACATATTTTCTGAAGAAACAATAGCCTGGGCAGGCAGGCAAGCAAGCAAGCAGGCTACTTTCCAGTTTCTCCGCTGTTAGTCCATAACACCTTTTCTGCTTTCTTTTCTTTTTATCGTCCCGACTTGCCAAACATGTACGTGCTCTCGTACCAAAAGATAAGTTTCTTCGAGTTTGCGTCGGCGATCGTGTAACACCATTGCGCAGGCCTGCTATTTAGAAGTCGTAAACTTATACTTGACGAGAGCCTCGGAGCAATTTTTGTTTTCAATTCAAGTATGTTAAAGAGCAGCTAAAGGCACGAAAATACGGGGATAATATTTATAAAGGGTAATTTTTACACTCCTCTTTTAGTAGACACTTAATAATTACCGTTTAACGCGTACACGTTTATGCGGCGAGAGAAAAATTTCTCTTCTCTCACGGATTACCGATGTAAATTATAGATAGCGGCAAATAATCGCGACGTAGCGGAGTAAAAATCTGTTGAAACGATTTCGCGCGTGGAAATTTGGTGGCAATGGTAAATAAGAAACGGGAGCGAAGCAACGGTATGTAAGGTATTTTCGAAGCTTGCGGATACGCGTTGGAAAGAAAATAAGGTTTAAACGAAACACGATCGTCGAGATCAGAAGGTCGATTAAGGTCGGTCGATCTGGCTTAGAGGAAGAACGTCGTGGTCGAAGGTGTTGGAGGGACTTAGCGCGGTGGTTTGGTAGACAGGGTAGTAGTGCTGGTTCATAGCGAAAGGGGGTAAGTGGAGGAGAGCGAAAGCAGGAAGGAGGGTGCGATGGAGAAATAGAAGGAGGGATTGGAGGAGAAAGAGCAAACGCCCGCAGCGTGACACCGCATTGCGCCCACTTGCCAACCCGCCCAACACCTAAATTCGAATTAGGAAGCCAGCCCTGTCGTTTCTCGTCAACACGACTCTCCTGTGCTGGTAAACGTACATAGGCAGGACATCATCGTCTAGTTATACCTATGTAGAGAGGAAGTAGAGGGCGGGAAAGAGGCACATAGACAAAAAAGGAGACGCGTTGGTGTATAAGCGCGCGCGATCGTGCAAGCGTATGCGCGCGCGTGTGTGTGTGTGTGTGTGTGTGTGTGTGGTATGCGTATATACAGGCAAGTTCTATCCTTTACGACCCTCCTTTGCTCTCTCGCTAGGAGAGCAATCAGAGGGAGAGAGGTGAAGAGCTCGTTTTCCTCTTCCTTTGGGAATCGATATCAACGTTATCGACTGCTTTTCTCGCTCCTTGTCGCTCGAAGTTCTACATCGGGGTTGCTCACGTATTCTCGGTAGGCGCGCAGCCAAAAGGCTCGATTTTGGCGCACATTCTCTATCGCGAAATCGGTGCCAAGTCTCGATTTAAGCGATCCCGCTTTCCTTGCTCCTAGACATTACGCGCTTCGTGCACGGTAACACCTTCGAACGGCGTTGGCGCGTTTTTACCAAGCTGGTCGTACCCGAGGAATTGCGAAAATTCGATAGAACTTAGAACACGTGACCTACCCAGAAGTCGACGTTTCCTATTCTCGGTTCGTCTCGCGAAATCGGTCAGCTTGATCCGATGATAGCCACGACGATATTTACGTTTCGATAGGTCGCGGGTTAATGCTGCGTCGCTATATACCTGCGCGTTCCTCTACGCGCGCCCTCTTAACGCGCTGCACGCGGTCCCACCGTCGGCCCGTGTTAATAATTAACCACCGACCGGCGTGGGAGTAGCTTTACCTATACCTCCAATGGCTAGCTCCTTCCGTCTCGGCAAACATCGCAGTTCCGCTTGCTCTTACGCTTACCGATCCGAGCTAATCTGCGATTAATTCCTCCTTTCTTCATCGATCCTTTTGTTTTTCCAAACTCTTTACGTAGATAGCGAAAGAAACGTTACCAATTAACGACGCGTTCAACTTTGTTTATCCGTATCGCGCGTCTCTCGCGTCTTTCGCGGTACATAAAGGTACGCGAAAGTTTCGCGATCGCGTACGACCGCGGTACGCAGCCCTCGTTCGCGATTAATCGAAAAGTTTCGTAACGAAGAGTTTTTGCGAGACGGTGGATCGTACTCTCCGGTTCGGCTCAGGTTTTCTCTGCACAAAGGCAGAAAATAGTAGGCACGAGCGAGGCGTACGGTATATACTGGCGCTGCACGCGTATACCCGATAAGATATCGGTGGAGCGAAGGGGTTGATCGCGCTCGAAGGGGGGAGGCAATATAAATGCGAAGATGCGTCAAGTTGGTGGAAGGTGAAAAGCTCGATAAAAATAGTACGGCTTATTAGCCTCGGGGGAGTTAGCAGTGTGTCTTCGGAGGGTAACGGCGAAGGTGAAGGAAAAGGGAGGAGGGAGAAGAGAAAGGGGAAATGGAAAATGGGAAATGGGAAAGGGAAGAGGAAGAGAGCGTAGCGCGAACGCGAACGCGAACTCGGCGGATTGAAGCGAGGGTGAGCATGACCAACCGCGTTTGTATATCCGGAGATTCGCAGGAGGGAAGGAAGGAAAGGCAGAAAGAGAGAGGAGGACAGGCGAGAGAAGAGGGTTGGTCACGGCAGGGTGGGTAGTAGAGGTGGAAGAGGATAGCGTGCCACGAGGGAAGAAGAAGCACGAGAGGGGGAAGTTCCCTGTCGCCGGCACGCATTGATTTTGCTCGACAGACAGCCGCCTGTTGGGTTCTCTGACTCAGGGACCTAACTTGGCTGTCGCTCGCACACACACCGTCCTTCCGTCTTCCTCCGCGGTCTTTTCGCCTCTTCTTTTTCCTTTACCTCTCCACCAGTCGCCACTGTTATATACTCGCTTTGCCCGCCACGACGCCTATCGCCTTCCGACTTCTCTCTTTCGCTGCTCGATCCGCCACTTACCGCCAACGTCCACGCAGCGCAGCGTCGCATCGCGTCGCGTCGCGTCGCGTCGCATGCAAAACTTTGTCCCATCTCGGATTATACGTAGAAAACTCGCCTCTTCTTATCTCGTCGCGTTGATACTTGTTGCTGTCGCGTCGTTCCATCCTACGGACCGAATATATACGTACACGCGAATTCGTTCCCCTTGCTCTCGCCTATTCGCCATCGCGTTTTAATCCGCGAATATTCCAAACGATCCGAAAGAATACGCGAGCGGTTATTGGGTCGACGATAAAGTTTAATAGCCGTATCAGTTTATTGGGCCGGCATTTCGATAGCCCCGCGTCTCTGTGTACTTGTCTTTCTCGCAATCGCCCTCTCTCCCTCTCCCCTTCTCCCGTTTCGTGTTCCGTTCCGCGTCGCGAGAAGGGAGATTAATTACACATCGAACGCGAAATGTCGCTCGACGTGGGAAAGAGCGCAGAATTGCATCGCGATACCGTTGACCCGTATAATGTAACGCGGGGTTAATTATTTATTAAATGTCGCGATCGCGACTCCAATCGTCTTACGTAATACCGAGAGCTTTTACTCGCAAACGCGAACGGTTTTATCGTCGAATCGATTTTGCGTGTCCGGGTACGCGCGTTACCAGCGAACGATGGCGATTCGCGTTTTCGCATACCGATCGGAAGATTGGTCCGCGCGACGCGATTTGCACTTGTGACTGTGTTAATCGGGACCGATGGTGGATTCGTTATGCGACTCCATCTCGTTTGGCATAGCGAATCCGTCGCGCGACGAACGAGGCGTTTACAAAAAGTCGCCGCATATATAGAACGACGCGATATCGAGACGATTCTACTTCCGCGTCTACTTCCGTTTATCGGCCGTTGTTCGCACCTCGCGCGTTGACAAAGTTCCGGCCGTCTAGCGCGCGGTTTGCGCGTTAAAGTATAGCGAGGAAGGGATGACTGTCGCGGTATGGTCAGACTCGGCGAAGTAGCTGGATTTGAACGGGGGTTGGCGTGAGCGGGTGGT